ATTATTTTAATTAATATTTATAACAAACCTTTTTTGTGTCTGAGAGCAGTCCGCATTATTGAAACCCATCACGAACGGGAGAGCTGTAACGCATTTTCACGAAGAGCTGTAACGCATTTTCACGATGAACAGGTAATATTTACCTTTGTTATTTCAATTTTATATAATTTAGAAAATTATTTTAATTAATATTTATAAATTTGTATCGTAGGTGCTTTCATTAAATGCATAATACATTATCCGAATATGAGAGCAACAAACTTTATATAAACTGAGAGCAGTCTAATTTTTGTAAAATATGTAAACTTTAAACGTATTTTATATATAAAATTTTATATACTTTTAAACATGTTAGTTGGGCAAATTTTAAGGATATATATATATGTGTGTGCTAACTTTAAGTATATATATTTTTCTTATAAAATAGTCTAGACAAAATTGAGGTAATTTCACATTTTTCAATAATAATATAAAATATTTTAATACTTTCACATATGTTATATAATAGTCTGCGTATTCTTAATGTCTTTTGGTTGTAACACTGTTAACACATATAATATTAGATACTTTTAAACATATTTAGATATTTTTTTTACTCATTCTTTAATATCTATGTGCATAAAAAGAGAATAAGATTTATAAAAAATTTTCCGGCAATATACTAAATGTTAGATAAAAATCTCATTTTATTTGTTATATAATATTTCGAGTTGCATTAATTTTGATTTGTATGTGTAAAATTGATAAATTAAGCGTATGAAAAGGAACGTACGAATTACTGTAAAGATTTAAAAAATAAAAAATAAATCTAATTTTTGAATATTTTCTAAACGAATTTATGTCATAATTCGTCATAATTTTCCCACATCATGTCAATATTTATTTTATCTATATTAGGTAAAAGGTAAATCATTATCTCAATATTTATTCTATCTATTCTAAGTAAATCTTCTCATCTATCTAAACGGTCCGCAGGTAGTATTTCATACTTTTCTATTCATAATCAAATATACCAAACCTTCACAAATTTTACTTCACAAAGAAAGTGTTCAATAATTTATATTTTTGTTCCTTCTTTGCAATCCATTTATTTTTATTACATATATATAAATTATATTATTTTTAATATTTCACACGTTAAACATTTCAGGAAAATATACCATCCCGTGCATCGCACGGGTACTGTACTAGTTAAATAGAGAATCAAAAGTTATTTTCGATAGCTTATTTTGTTAGCTTATAAACTTGGTTTGGTAGGACAAACTTTTTTAAAACCTTGAGCTTATCTTATAAGCTTCTTTGAGTAGTTCTTACAAATAAGCTCGTTGAATTTTTTATTTCAGCTAGCTTATTAGCTAATTTACCAAACATTTTTATCATATAAGCTAGCTTTTTAGTTATAAGTCATAAACTATAAACTATAAGCTCAAAAATTACTGATAAGCTATAAGCTAGCTTATCAGCTAGTTTTACCAAACGTAGCCTTAAATGATATAAAGCAGGTGTTCCGAATATACGGGTATCCTACAAAATGAAGTGTATGATTTAGTTCTTACAATCTGAACTAAAAACATAAAAAAAATTTAGATACTGATAGCGGAAAGAAAATAGCTGAGACGAGTGTTGTTCTTTTCGCTGGAAATATACGCCCTATAATGTGTTGACGGGTTCAGGTGTCTCGTTCCAAAAAATACAACAGCTGACGTCGAAAAAGTTGTAGCACAACAGACTTTCGAGGTCTGGCGAACTTGAACGGAGTCGAGAATTAAACACTATATATAAGGATGTGAGGCTTTTCTGGAGAATTAGAATGCAAATGATGTTGTTTTTCTTTTGCAGCTCTAGACAGGTCCTATTTATAGGACGTTCAGCTTAGGTAGGGGATAGCACTAGTCACCTGCCACTTAAGACAAGTAACAACACACTGAAGGTTGTTCTAATAGACAGAGAAACGGTCAGACCGTTTTCAAGTAGAGGTGGTCAGGGTCGGCCCGGAATCGGCTCGTATGCACATGTCATTGAACCAGACCGGTGCTACAAGCTGGCCGGTTCCGGGTCTTAATTTTTTTGTTGTGACGCACCGGTTTCGAGCCTGGAGACGGGCCTTTGTTCAATTTTTATTTTTTTTTCCTGTGAACCTGGTCGGTCCCGAACCGTTGTGTCGGAGAATCGGCCTGGAATTATCGGGCCTGTGAATCGGCCCGTACCTAAATCCGAGTCAGTTCTGGGCATCTGTTTTCAAGTCCAGCGACCTGCCGGTACCCGGCCCGCCAAATGGCCACCTCTATTTTCAGGTGTTAACACACCACTAATCAGGTGTTAACGCAACACTATTTTACCTGAAACAGTCAGGTGGAATCAATACGTCCAGGTTCAATGTATCTATAGATATCTCACACGTGTTGGATCAAAACCCGAGTTCAAACCCAACTCTGTTTGGGTTTTATCTTGAGCATCAGTTCTGTAAATAAATTGCAACAAAAAGGGTTAGTACAGGCCTGGTTCGGGTAATAATATAGCTCTGACCTGCCCTGCCCCGCTTCTCTGCCCACCTCGCTTTTTATGTATATTTAATTATTATTACGTTTTCTTTCTTTCTCATCTATCATTATATATAAAGAATAACCTTTTTACAAATTTAGAAATTTTTTCCCGCCAAAATCATTAAATATATTCTATATATAGTAATTGTTGGACAAATCTGAATAGGCAAAAAAATCTATTTTAAGAAGCTAATTTTCATCGGTCTAATTACTAATATTTTTACAAATATTTTAAGCTAACAATACAAAAAAGTATAATAATAATTTTGAAATGGTGTGTAATTAAATTTTTTTATATTCTCTTATACAAAATAATTTTACATTGTTTGACCCCGAATATTTAATTTATAATTATTAAGTATTGTTTATCCTCCTCTTTTATTTATAATTATTTTTTTTCTTCCTCTTTTTAAATGGGATCAATAGTAGTTTTCATTTCCACCATTGACTCAAACTCGAGGTCTATTTATAATATTTCGAGGTCTATTTACAATATTGTTAATTTAATAATATTTTCGTGCATCGCACGGGATACACGCTAGTTGATTTCACAATTCGTGCCATCAGCCCGCAACTCGCAAGCTCTTGCCTCCGTCGCAAGCCTGCAACCTCTCCTTCATTTTTCAATAAGGCCCTGCACCGTGCCATTGTAGGAACCTCACATTCGCTCTAATAAGGTGGCCCACCGCTACACTATAGAAGCCTCGCCTCTGGCCCCGCTATCTCTGTTTAGGCACCTGTACCACCATCACAGCTCTACTTTCAACTTTCAAAGGTAAATCACTCAACTTTCAGCTTTTTCGGTAATTTTTTTTGGTACCTTAATGCACAATCTTTGTGGTATACGTTTGGGTCATCAAAAATTTGAAACAATTAAAACTATTTCTGATTTATGATTAAAATAACATGTTTATCAACTTGTTTTACTCAGGTGTGATTGGATATAGATTTATGATTGGATAATTAATTTTGAAAAAATTGTTGGGTTGAGTTTTAGTGAAATTTTGAGTTTATATTTAGAAAATGTAATAAAATGAAATGATAAAAGTTAATTTGAGGTAACAGTAGAAGATAGGTGATTGTAAGTAATACCTATTTAAAATTATGTGAACGGATGAATAATGAACTAAAGTAGATTTTGTGAAGCTCTTAGAAACTTCTTTCACTCTTTTTGCTGACCTAGGAGCATTAACTCTCATCACTCTTATTCCCAAAATCAATAATCTACTAAGTATATGGCATTATAGGCCCATTAGTTTGTGTAATGTAGTTTATAAAGTCATCTCTAAAATTTTGGCTAATATGCTGAGAGGGACTCTTCATCTCTGCATTAGTGAGGGTCAATCAGCATTTTTGCTAGGGAGACAAATTTGTAATAACATTATTTTGGCTCATAAGTGTTTCCCTTCTTAAATACTTGTAGAAACAGAAAAGATTGCTTTGCAGCTATTAAATTGGATATGGTTAAGGGTTTTGACAGGGATGAATGATCTTTCTTAACTGCTATTATGGTTAGAATGTGTTTTGATCTTATTTTTGTGAATTGGGTGCTTGCTTGTGTGAGTTCTGCTTCTTTCACTTTCAAAGTGAATGGCTTGTGTAAAGGTTTTGTGTTGCCTTCAAGAGGTGAGGTCTAAGGGGACCCCCTCTCCCCCTTTCTTTTTATTTTGGTTTCTTAAGGCCTTTCAAATTTGCTTACGATTGAAAATGGGCTGAATCTGTTGAATGGAATTAAACTTAATAAGCGAGCCCCTGAGATCACTCACCTTTTCTTTGCTGATGAGTCTCTTCTTTTATACAAAGTTGATTTGAATAAAATAAGAAGGATTAAGAGCATTTTGGGTAAGTATTGCTTAGTCTCTGGCCAGCAGATCAATTTTGAAAAATCTTATTGCTTCTTTAGTAGGAATACACCTTTGTCGGTGAAATAGTCTGTTTGTTATCTGTTGAACAATATCAAAGAAGTGCACAGTGCTAACTATCTAGGTCTGCCTTTGCTTGTGGGAAGAAATAAATTGGAGGTATTCAGGTTTGTCAAAGAGAAAGTTAATCAAAGAATTTTTAACTGGAAAAATCATTTTATGAACTTTGTTGGTAAGAAAGTTTTGATAAAATCAGTGGTAAATGTTCTTCCCAATTATGTAATGTCTTGCTACAAATTGCCATAAAAGCTATTGTAATTCCTTGATTACTTCAACTGCAAATTTCTGGTGGGGCAATAATAAACTTGGTGGGAAGAAAATTCATTGGAAGAAATGAGACCTCTTGACTTTGGCTAAAAATGAAGGAGTTCTAGGCTTTCAAGATTTTCAGATCAATAATGAGGCCTTCTTAGTGAAACTATTATGGAGGATTTTGACCAATCCAGATTATTTAATGAGTAGGCTTTTTAAAGCTAAATACATTAGGAATGATCAGTGGTGGGTTCAACCATGAAAGAAAAGCAATCAATCATGGATGTGGTGTGGGTGGTTGAAAGTGTATAAATTTTTACTTCTTGGGTTAAGGGTAAGAATTGGGGATGGAAAAGGTACTAAAATCTCTGAAACCACTTGGATTCCTTTTAATCCAAGGTTTAAACTTCTGGGGGGTAGCTGCAAAGATCCTAATCTTATTTGGGTGAGTCAATTAATGGATATTGATAACAGGAGATGGAAGAGGAACCTGATTTTAAGGAACTTTCACATCCTTGATGCTGAAGCAATTCTGAGAATTCCTTTAAACATGTTAGAGGAGAATGGTGATTTGGTTTGTATTTGGAGAAAATTTGAAGATTCACTTTTAAATCAACGAAGCAAGCTATTGTTGATTATTACAAATGCTCTTAAGACGAACCTGAAGGAAGTAAAACTAGGAGAAGGCAGAAGAAGATGTGGAATTTGCTCTGGAATCAAGGTCAAAAACTCAAGCACTTTTTGTGGTGCTGTTTGAACAATTGTCTGGCCACATGTTTGAACTTATGGAAAAAAAAAGGTCAAATATGACAAAATAAACGTCCAATGTCTGGGGAGGAGGATGAAAGTGAAAAACATCTTTTCTTTAATTGCAACAAGGCAAGAACAGCTTGGAAGTTGGCTCATATTTCATGGCATAATGAAGGAGAAAAAGAAGAAAGCTTCAGAAATTGGTTGATCAAATTGGGAGACTTAAGGAGAGGAGAAGCTGTAGAGGAGAGGATGCAGTTATCGGTGTACATATTATGATGGTTATGGAAAACCCGTAACTTGTTGGTTTTTTAAGGAGTTTGGAAAGAGGAGAAGTCTTTAGTTGATATTGCTTTTCTGGAGTGGAGAGAATTCAGTCTCTCCTTAGGGGTTGTGTAGGGTGTGAGTTCAGCCTTGAATGAGATTGATTGCTTAAACTGGGGGAAGTTCTTCTCAGTGGTTTCTCAGTCAAGAATCCTTCTTTGCGGTTTTGGGTTGTCTTTGGTGTTTGTTTGGGGTCTTTCTGTGGTTTGGCTGCTTGTACTAAGGTAGTTTCTTCTCAGTGGTGCTGATCCAAGCTTTGCTGTTTCTCTGGTCTTGTTGCAGGAGCTCATCCTTTTCCCTTTAGTGTTGTCTTGGCTGTTGAGCTTTGCTTTGGTGATGTTGGTCTGCCCTGGAGCACTGGTTTTGGTGTCTCTCAGGGAGCTTTCTTAGTCTTCCCTGCGGTTATTGTTCCCTGCACCTTTGTGTAGTCTGTAGCTTTGTTGTTTTAGAAGACTGATTTTGTATATTTGAGGGTAGTTCTTGGTGGTTGTATAGTCTTTTGTCCTCCTTGGTGTTGCCTTTCCTTTCTTTTTTGTATCCCCTGGTTTCCTGTAATTCTAGGTGGATAACGTGTGTAAGAATAATTAATTGTTATTACTTAATTATATTGATAATTTTAAAAATGATAAGTTAAATTAAATTTAAGTTAGATTTTATATTAAAAAGTGAACAATTAAAAGTGGTTGAATTTTTTTATTGTACTTTTACATGTAAAATAAGGGGCGAATCTAGCAATCTGTATGAGTAGGGGCCTAAATTTTTTAAAATAGCATCACATAATATTTTATAAGTAAAAAATCAAAGACAACACTAAATAAAACAATATTTTCAGAAAATATCAAAAACAAAAACATAAAATTTTCAAGACAATAATAATTTAACACATTTTCTGGATATGGCTATTTTAANTACTATTTTAGCACCTATACATTAATCAACTATTATGAGAATTAGATAATAACATATATCTATTTCGAGTTTCGTTTGGATTTAAAACAACATTAAATAAAATATTCAAACCATATTTAATTTAATGGTTAACTTAATACAAAGAAAAAAATCAAAGGAACCAATTATCAGATATCAATCACATCCCCTCTATATATAATTTCAGAAACAGTAATATATATCCTTATAGATAAAATTTAAATTTATTTATCAAATTAATAAATTATATCAAATAAAACTATAAATTATATTATAAAGTAATAGAAATTAGTATGTATTCGTTTAAAAATGATATTTATTTCAAATCTAATTGATATGTTGTCAATGTAATAAATATAAATAATTATTATATAAATTCTAAAATTACATATAAAGTTAAAAAGTTGTGAAGCACGATTGATACGACACTTGATGTATCAGGCATCTAATTTAGTAAAAAAATTAATCTATTTTGCTTAATATTAAATAAACATATTCTACACTTATGCATATACATATCACCATAATATTTCTATTTACTTAAGATATATATTTTTGTACTTATGTAATAGTAAATAATATCGATATTTTTATATGATATAAGTAGTGTTGACATTTTCATTTAATGTACGGGTGTTTAATTATTATGATTAAAAAATATAATTTGACAATTTAGTTAAAACCCAAAGAAATGATTTATATAAAATTAAATTATTTTAGTTTAAAAAAAATAAAAAATTTAATATTTTTTTCAAAAGCTTTCTAATTCAACACCCATGTAATACACGGGTATTGTACTAGTACAAATTAATTGTGTATCATATGATATCAAGAAAATTAAAATTAACAGTTATAATTACCAACCAATAAATGAAGTTAAGTATAAAATAAGAGTTTATATTCCATGAAATTTCAACAATTATTGAAAAAAATTATATTTTTCAATTTATTTTTATTATATTTTTTGTCCCTCTCTTTTTCCTAAATTCACTTTTCTTACTATATTTTCATGTAAAGCCCTTAGAAAACTGGTCCTCAAGTAGATACCCTAACGTAAGTAGTCCCCACTCCCCAGCGAACTCTGGATAAACATGGAATTCATGATCCAATTTGTTTTTTTGACAATTATTATCAATTAAAAATAATTCATAAAATCCAGCTGGTTCATTCTATTTCTTGCCGTCCTTTCAAATATCGCAATTTCCGAATCCGAAATTGGAACCCTAATCAGTAATAAATAGCCGTCTTTGGGACTTTGTTTGTGACGTCAAAATCGCATTGAAGAATTTAGGGAGGCAATGCTGTGAAATTCGAATCATATAAAAAAGGTAACCTTTTCTTGATCCTTCTCTTTACTCCACGGCGGCTCACGTTTATTTTTCTCTTTTTTTTTTTTCTTCGCGTCTATAATATCTATCGTTTTATGTATTATGTGTCTGAGTTTGTTTTCAACTCTGATTGCTAGTAATTTGATCGCATTGCCGTGAGCTGTTTTTGGTGCCTTTTTAACGAATTATTGTTTCTCCAAGTAAGACACTGCTATTGCTTGTGTTCTTGTGGTGGCGTTTTCTCTGTTCTTTATCATTATCCTCACCTTTTGCGGTAAAGCTTTAGTTACACAAATTTTCGTTTATATTGCTGCAATTAAACGGTATGTTGGAAAATTTAGTCATCTTTTAATACTTGGTCCGGATGTTTTCTTGTAGGAGCCTGTTTATAATTCCTAATTGGAGATAATATTCTTATGATAAGATCACAATGATTTCTGTTACGAAAACTTCGGTTTAACTCATAGGGATTTGGAATAAAAAAAAAAATTGAGGTACACTCGATGGTTTCTATTATTGTTATATCATATGAGATGAGAATTTAATGATGAAAGTTGTTTGAAAATATGCATGGTAAATCTAACTATGTGGTGAGTGAATTGTCTTGTGTAAAAATTATTTGTTCGTTTTAAGTACCTTTATATTTACTTTGATCTTTCTTAAATCCACTAGCTTCCATTCCACCTGATGAACCGTGTTCTGTCCAATTTGTTTCACATGCTTCCTTTCAGACTGATCTACTAAGCTAATTCGGTAATAGGCGCGCAACTGCATATTTTAGATGGAGGCACAGCATTCAGAGCATGCACACATCATTGAGGTATCCACTGATATAACGTCTACCGAGCGTTCGTATGGAGGGAGCAAAGTATGTGAAGGTGCAACATGCGGCTTTTCTGACGCCAGAACAACCTCGAGGGACGCTAAAGAACGCTCGGCCTCCATGAAGAAGCTCCTTGTTGCAGTTGTCCTCTGCGTGATATTTATGAGCGTAGAAGTTGCAGGTGGCATAAAAGCCAATAGCTTGGCCATACTCACAGACGCAGCTCACTTGCTCTCTGATGTAGCCTCGTTTGCTATCTCTCTGTTTTCTCTGTGGGCCGCGGGTTGGGAGGCAACCCCTCGCCAGTCGTACGGTTTTTTCCGGATAGAAATACTCGGAGCACTCGTCTCGATTCAGCTGATATGGCTTCTCACGGGTATTCTTGTGTACGAAGCAATCGTTCGACTTGTGCAGAACACGGGTGAGGTTCAGGGGTTTCTCATGTTTCTAGTCTCGTCTTTTGGTTTGCTGGTTAATATAGTCATGGCCCTTCTGCTCGGCCATGATCATGGTCATGGCCATGGCCATTCGCATGCGAATGATGAAGATCATCATCATCATAATCATGATCATGGTTCTGAGGACGAGCACTCGCATGGCCATGGAGTGACCGTCACTCGATACGAAAGCCATCATCATCAGCAGTCGAGATTCAACGAGCCTCTTCTCAGTACATCACACGAGGGCGAGAGCGAAGCGAAAAAGACGAAAAAGCCCCTACGGAATATAAACGTGCAGGGTGCCTATCTCCATGTTCTGGGAGATTCCATACAGAGTGTGGGGGTTATGATTGGTGGGGCCGTAATTTGGTACAAGCCCGAGTGGAAGATAATCGACCTCATCTGCACATTGGTTTTCTCTGCTATTGTTTTGGCCACAACCATTAGGATGCTGAGGAACATTCTAGAAGTTCTCATGGAGAGCACACCGAGGGAGATAGATGCCACGATGCTGGAGAGGGGTTTGTGTGAGATGGAGGAAGTTGTTGCTATTCACGAGCTGCATATTTGGGCGATAACTGTTGGGAAAGTGTTGCTGGCTTGCCATGTCAAGGTTAAGCCCGAGGCAGATGCGGATATGGTGCTGGACAAGGTAATTGATTACATTAAAAGGGAGTATAATATTAGTCATGTCACGATTCAAATAGAAAGAGAGCAGATCTCGTGATTTAGAGCTGTCTTATGTTTTATGTTAGGGTCTTGGATTGGTTTGGACTAATTTGAATGCGAAATTTATTGAAATATTATCTATCTATCTATATTATCATGGGTTTTTACTGTTGACTTTGTCTTTATGCTGCTGTTCGGTTTGCTTTTTATGCTTGTTAAAATATTATCTTGAAGTGATATTCAGTCTGCTTTGCATGTGAATATGGACTTAAAAAGTGGTTTGCTTTGATGTGTACTTGGTAATTTGATAGTAATGACTAGCTTCTGGAGTAAATGTATCTTTCTTTGGGATGCGGATGAGAACTTGTCTTAGAAACAATATGATCTTTTCTTTGAACCAACAAGTTGTACCCAGATTACCCAAAAAAACAAAAAAAAAATATTTGAGAAAACTGTCATGTTCATGGGTTACTAATGTTGCGCATGTTTTGGGGTATTGGGACCTCATTTTCTAGGTACAGAATTCTAGCCCTTCACTATCTTTGTTTGTCTTTCCATATGTGTTTGATTTTAATCCAATAATGTTTGCTGGTGGCTGTTGTTTTCTCTTATCTCAACTTTTATAGTGGATGGGATTGTGCAATACAATTTGGGGTTTTTGGGATTATGTAATACAAGTTGGGGTTTTTTCTTTAAATAACATTTGTGGAATGATACAGATGTATCTGTAGACGTGACTGACCTGTTGTACGCGAATGTCCATTTTCCAGGACTATGTTTTACAGTCAATTTTTTGACAAATATAAAAGCTAGGCCCTTTGTACCCTTGTGAACTTTGGGTTCTACAAATGACCAAACACATTTCTTGAAAAATGCACTTGAGAGAGTTCTGTATTCTCCCATTGGGACTTTATGTGTCTTATTGTTTGTTAGGTTGGTTCTAAGTTGTCTTGGTGTAGTCCTCTCAACTAGATTCAACTGTTTAGTTGTTGTCTAGTATGTAAATTGTGTTGTTATTTATGAAATCCATCGTTACGAAAAAAAAAAAAAAAAAAAAAAAGAAAAAAGCAGCGTGTGCCGAGACACGAAAAGTGAAGATATAAACTTGGTGTTTTAATGAACAATAATTTTTCATTGGTATAAAGTTTTGATTGGACTAAAAACATGTGTTTGACTTACATTTTAATGATGTCAATCGTCCATCTTGAAATCAACAAGTAAATCAACAATTGGCTCTATAGTGGAGTCAACCTTCTATATACAACAAGTAAACCATACCATATTTAGTATTTATTTAAGTAATCAGATAATATGGTATGATTTACTTGTGTATATAGAAGGTTGACTTCACTATGAAGCCAACTATTGGCTTCATAGCAAAATTGCTTAATTCAAAGTCACTTTCTCAGTAGGCCGAGAAAACTGTTTTCCAAATGGGTGTATCCGTTTGGGATTTCTAAATATTTTTAAGACTTTAGAAATCCTGCTACATTTAATTTAGACTTTTTAAGTCTTTTAAAAGTCTTGAGGTATTCACTTGAGATTATAATTTGTTAAGACTTTAAGATTTGGTGGGATTTCAAAATAAAAAATCATATACGAAATCCTACTCCAAATTCCATTTCCCGACTTACTAAGATTTCATAGTATTCCTTCAAAATCTGAAAATCTTAAAAAGTCTCAAAATGTCACTCGAAATTTCAAACGAATACATTCACTTCTGAGTGGCATCAATTACAAAATTGAACTGTTTCTCCTAACTTAATTCTATTCCGAGTGACATCAATCACATAAACTGAACTGTCCAATCTTAATTCTATTCCGAGAGAGATCAATCACATAACCTAACGTTTCTTCTCTCTATACTTTTCAGATGACCAAGGACTCGGTGGTGTTTGTTTAATCAACATTCTTATTCTTAGCTCTTAAGCGCACTTGTCAGTAAATTAAGCACACTATTAAACAAGAAAAAGTAGGGCGTAGTATTACTTTACTGATTTAAATCTTCAAGTTTGATCCCGGATAATCTAGCAAGCTCTGGGAGCTGCTTCTCTCCAATCAAAACCTGCGACAGGAACCCCATTAAGATAAGGAATCACAAAACAATAATATCAAAGTACCTCACTTTGGAAGTGCCCCATATCCTTGAGCAGATATGGAATTAGGAATGGAAAATTACTCATCTCTATTGCTGAATTTATGAGGCAGATTTATAACCATTGCCGAACATACAAGCTATTAAGCATAAAGTAAGGACGTGAATCCTTCGACAAAACTTACCCGATAAAATTTATTTTATCAAGTTCAAGAGGAGTATCAATCAAACCTGACCATTTATCTCCCAGGATGGGAGACCCTTAAGATTAATATCATAACATGCTTTAGCCATATCAGCTCCTTCTCCTACTCCATCAGGAAAGCACTCTACATAGTCCAACAGTTCTGACGCTTCAAGACCAAACATCTGCTTCAATGTCAATACAGACAAATAAACTCAATTATAAGTTGGTCCAGAAGTCATCTCCTTTTTCTTTTACTTTAGGCATCGAAGAATTAATAGTTTTTTGTGAATCAAAATAAACCAAATATTAGGTACTTCATTCTTATTCATTACTAACTGAAGCTGCTTTTCCATCAATGATCAAACAATTGGCAGTAAGTGAGATCAAGTTTAGGTTTTCCATCCTTCAAAAAATAAGTGAAAATTCTTATTTGTGAAGATAAATATAATAAAATATATACAGACGTGACAACCTGGCCGTGAACTGAATAGTCTAGTTTACTAACAAATCTGGAAAGTCGTAGGTATTAAATTTCAAGAAAGTTAGTAAGACTTAGGATTGTCTTTTGATGACGGCAAATATCATGATCACCTCATATACATATGAAAATTGTACTTTGTTTAATCCAATAATTGTTTAATCTCTATAGAATCACTAACCAGATAATGTATGTATTCAATATTGCCATAGATTTTCATATCGTGTATGAGGCTCTTGCGAGAAGAAAGACGAAAATAGAAACTAGAACAAGATGGGATGTTAAACTGGAAATATAGAGTTAGAGGTGAAAGAGGAAACCGGTGAATCCATCAAACATCCCGACTTATCTTAGTCTAAACTCTTCTTGTAATCGAACAAAAGAAATACAAGGAAAAAATTATAATTAATGCGAAAATACCTGTTTTTGATGCACACAATGGGAACACCAGAAAGCCCCATACAATTTTGCTCCAATTGAGTGTAGATGCTTTGCGAGTGAAAGGGCCATAGCATTCGACTCTTGAGTGATTTTTATTTCAACAAATGGCATCTCTGTAGCTGCTAGGCTGTTGAATGTTAAAACATAAATTGTTTAGATTACGTAAAAATATAGCAACAAGGGAAAACGTAGGTCCCTACATTTCCAATTAGTGGAATACTTAATATAACATAAGGAATCAACTTGTAAGTGGATCCAAACGAGATCTACTTAAATCCAGATTGATTTAACTAATATCGTGGAGTCCAAATGTCACCAACCTCAAGTCATCCAAAGACAAATTTCATTCGGGTTGCATCATGTAACACTAACCCATAGTGACTAGTCTACTTGACAATACATATCATAATGCATGATTGGATATGGTACCTTGATGGGACAAGTTGCATGGAATCATATGATGCAGTCAAGGCAATAACTGCCAAACTAGCTATGCATAACTGTGAACCCAATATTTTTTGAATCTTGCCTAAACCGAGACTCTGCAAGACAAATCCAAAAATATCTTGTCATTGATGTAAACTGAAGCACTAGCACACATTGTGAGAAAAAAAGAGATAACAAACAAGAAGAAACCTTTAGGGTGATAAAGAACAGACTGATGGATAGTGCTGCTGATGCCAGACAATATAAACAACGCTCTCCAACAAATTCCGTGCTCATAATATACAGAAAGTAAGCACTGGCAAATGCCATGGAGGTAGTTGTTCCAATTAAGATCATTTCACTGTCAATGTACTCAAAGTCAAATGCCCTTTTCTTGTGATTGAGTTGTAATTGTAGGGAAAGCATTGAGACTATTCCATATGCAGCCATACCGAATAATGGAAGAGGAACACCTTGCAAAAAGAAGTAATATTTGTGTTTGCAACAGAAAATTAGGATTGATACATTGTTCTAATGAGATGATTGTCGAGTAAGAATCATTCAAAGTATAGAAACTTAAGAAAACAAGTGAAATAGTACTCAACACAAATAGGAAAAGGGAAGACCAAGATCATTTAGACCATTAAATTACATTAAATTAAACTATCTGAACTTAATATTGGGGGAAAGAAATAGTACCGAAAAGGGAGGAGAATTCACTCGTGAGAATGGAGGAGCAATTGCCACCTCCCATGGTGCGCAAGATGTCTGAACCGGAGAGCTTCAGGTACGCCATGGCTGCTGTCTCCAGAAATCCGATGCCTCCAAGAGCAGCACACCATTTGTATGCTGAAATGCTTAGGTCACCTTCATCAACAGCGGAAGTAGAAGACGACCCTTGAGACAAAGGCAGATACGACGCCGTTTCAGATTCGGTTTGACAAGTACTCCTCCTCTGACTGCTCTCCAGCTCGCATTTGACGTTAACCAGAAACAATCTCTGCCGCAGAATTATATAGATCAGAAAGCCAGAAAATGAACACAATTGAACCCTTGAAAGTAGAGAGATAGCGAACCTTGGAGTTGGGAAGCCCAGTGAGCGGCGGAGTTCGACGGCGTGGAACTGAATAAGACGATATAGCGAAGCCGGTAATCGCCATCGCCGGCGCCATCACAGCTAACTTTCTTTGAATGGAGCGTCTTTGAACACTGTGTGTGCCTGCCGATTGCCGGTACGTGCGTAAGTCTCTTTCGTTGATCGCCGGCCGACTGTTTTAACAACACTTATTTTTAATTTCCAACATCTTTGTTTATTGGATATTTTATATTAAAAAAATTGTTTAAAAATTATTATAATTTTTTTAATACTTATTTAAAATGAGATTGTATGACTTGTAAGCTCGTCTTATATAATAACTTTTTTATGTAAAC